GTTCTTCATAACTTGCATATTATAATGGAATTAAAAAAAAAGTTTGTATGTAATTGTAAATCAACAATGATTTTTCATATGCGTTTAATGTTGGAACTTTGGCGAAATTTGTCAAAATTGCGAAAAATTATAATTGTTTTAACCAGAGACTGACCTTTTGAATTTATCGGTATTAGTTCCGGTACTGGTTCTCCAAAAATAAAATAACTGTTTCGGTTCGGTTATTGTTTTTTGATAAAAAAAATAAAGGTATAGGTTCCAAATAATTTCGGTAACAAAAAGTTTAATAATTATAAATACCTATCCGGATTACGGGTTTAATTAATAGTATGATAAATGTTGCAAAACTCATATGATCATACATAGTCTATACACAAAACCGTTATACCATTAAATTGTGATACAATTCAGCTTCAGTTCCGGTATTTTATTTATTAAAATAAAGGTTTCGGTTCATAATATTTTAAAGGTTCCGGTTCCAGAACTGGTTCTTTTAGGTTCGGTTCCAGTCCCTGGCTTAACATTCTTACTAAAGGTTTGAAAATTAAAAATGTAAATATATTTTATACAAGGTTACTCATGAGTATTTTTAAATGAAATAAAAAATTGTTGTAGAACTGAGTCACTTATATTTTTATGAGCGATTGAATTTCAAGTTTTAAAGATATTGGATATTTATGCATAAATTAACAATTTTAGTTTTTTTATTTTTGATCAAAAATAATTATTAATTATAGAAATTTTAACATTTCATTACTACTTAAATTATCAAACTATATTCACAATGAGATTGTAAAAATATCTAGACTAATTTTAATCTATTTTATAGGTGGGTAGTCATTTTAATTTGTTTATTTTTTTAAACTGTTTTTAATATAACGTTAGGCTTGATTAAAATTTTTAAAAATGTGATTCCAGGTTTCTCATGAGTAGTTCTTTCTGATACCTAACGGCTAAAAATCTAATCATATTGTCACAAATATTTTTCATAGACATTTGAATTTCAATGAAATTGTATATTTAAACATAGAAATATAAAATAATTATAAAATATAATAATACTATATGATACACCATCTTTGATCAGACTTATTATATTTATACAAATATACAATGATATTTTATTCACATCCATCACAGTAGATGCTCAAGGGCGAGGTAAACTTGAAACTTACGACTATATAGCAGAGCGAGTTCACTGGGTTTATAATTGCATTTCTTGATTAAGATTTTAAGCACTTGACGTTTTAATATAGGACTCTCAAGACTGAATATACATAATACAGGTATATATTTTATAACCATAATATATTCAATTAATGTTTAACACACTTTTATCTTTAGTTATTTATATTATTATAATTACTTACTGTCGGCTTTCTTTTTTAAATTGTTTATAATACGATTTTAAGCAATATAGTAAACTGCTCATCTTAGTTATTTTTTGATTGCATTCAAATGTATAATAGTTGTAATACATAATAAATAATAATACACCACCCTGCCGAGTTTAGCTAATCAAGATAAGTGCACTACACTGTTCACACTTAATTTCATAATTCTGTCACCTTTTGTTGTAAGTAATAGGTATATGTATTTATTTATTTTTAATTAAGATAAAATTAATTTATCATAATATTAAGGGTTTTAAGATTATCTGATTATGACTATAGCAAGTAAGATAGAAATACAATTATTTAAAAATTTTTGTATTATACCTTTCTGGACCGAGAAAACTAAAAAACCTCCAAATGTTCAAACAGAGCTTAATATATTAAACTTTCAACACATATAGTATTATTTTAATATTTTACAATTATTCAACAGATATATAGGTAGGTAAAATACAAGTATATTCATTACAATTTTAAAATATCAACGTGTCTTATAAGTTAGGTAAAATTGTTAGAGCAAAAAATTAACGCTTTAATAAACTATATTATTATATAATTATACAATTATATTGATATTCAAACTAAAACAGTTTTATATTTATAGAGGATGAATAAGAAACAAGATTTTTTTTTCGTTAATTTTTTTTGTATAGATATTAATTAATAATATTTTTTGTAGTTGTTTTTGTAATCGCATTTTTATAATTTTTTTTAATAACGTAGTGCATACATGTCTTATGCATTTTAGTGCTTTAAATTATCAGTTCAGTCTATTGAGTTATGGATTACCTACCACAGTTAAATTATTGAAGCTTTATTATATTTCCTTTAATTACTTCCAACAACCACTTGTAGATTTTTTATGTCGAGAGATTCGTATTCTTATTTATTATTATTTCTTACAATATTTTTGCTTCTTTCACTTTATTGATAATTATTTCATACATTAATAATACCGGTTATTCAAGTGTAAAATAAATAATAATTAATTGTACACCAATGTTAAAAAGTATTGGTAATTATACTATATACCTGACAAATGCGGACAAATCACTACAGTTATTGCTTTCTTTAATGATATTTTGAAGTATATTTTCGATTTATTTAAGCGTAAGTTAGAAATATTACACGTTTCTTATTCAAGATAATTAAATTAAACACCATAGTACAATTATGTAGCTATTATATACCTTTATTGTGTTATCAAAATGTATCGCTAGAGCGAATCTAGAAAATAGTATACAAATATTAAAAATCGATTCACTCATAATTTTTGCGTTCTTTGTAAAAACTTGTTCTTATTGGAAAATGTAAAATACCTTATTTGTACGTCTGTTTCATATAATATTTCTATATTACTCACTATCATACAAAAGTAACAATCAAAATACTAGACTTTTTGTCTTTTGCCGTTTTTTCCCGGTCGAGTGAATATTTTGTATTTGACCATAAATATGGTAATAAATAAATAATTATCTATAGTAAAGTGCACTACACACTCTTAAAACGTAACAATATGGTGGGGTAGGTAATAATCGACTCAACAGCATATTTTTGTATATTCACAAAATAAGTTCCATTAGCCTACACATTTTATTATTTAAAAAGAGTTGAATGTTAACGATGATTGGAACAAAAATTACAAATATTTATTCAATATACCTACCCTTGGTTTTTGTTGGTATATTGTATTTATAATACAATACTTAATTAAGTATGGTTGATATTTTATTATTTTTAATTTTGGTTTAAAATATTTTTTATTGCTTAAAGTAGTTATAGGTACTTAAAACTTACAAGAGCGCAACAGTATCATCAAACCCTACCATGAAAGCACGTTTACGATTCTTATAGTACCAACTCCAACTAGTACACCAATAATGCTTGACTCAATGGTCGTAGAAACAAAATGCTTTCACTATGATACAACTTGAGAACTTTATTATTATGTAATATGTTAGTGAGGGTTTTCAAAAGTTTATATTAATGTAGTTTTATACATTATAAAATATAGTTAAGTCAAGTTTTTCCAAAATGTGTTATTATTAAAACAAACAGAACATTGCGGCTACTTAAAAACAACAATTAAACGCATTTCGTGGTTACACTTACACATTTTATATATGTCCGATCATTAAAATATATCTATGATGTACCCACCCGTCCGGCAATAATGTTGTCTGACATTTGGTAATAGGATTTTGCTGGAATGGATTTGTTTTTCGTATATATTAATAATAATATGTAATCTTATATAATAAAATAATACAGTTGGGCGGTACACGTCATAATATATACATCTGAATAATATTGTATTACCACTTCTCTATTTAAACTACAGTGGTCAGCACAATATAAAGTCTTCTCCTTCCCCGAGCTGCAAAAAATCTCCTCGTCATTGTCGTCGTCTTCGTTGTTGTAGTCGTGCACACAGATACCTACTTGAGGTTCAATTACACCTATCGCGCGCTGTACAACCCGTCATAATAACATTAAGATACTCGACTCACAGTTCTTGTCGCGTGCCTACAGAATATATTAATACTTAAACGTATAGTAAAGGTTAGTAACATAGGTCCAATAAGACCCACTGCCACCATCGGCACCACTGCAGCCTTTATGCTTACGTTTTAGGCTTTCATAGTTGTATCATATTCGGCCACATTATAATAATGCTAATAATAATAATAATAATAATAATGTCGATACAACATTTTTATATTATTATACCTGCAGATACCTGAACGCTCCTTCTCCTTTCGTTTCTCGACGTCGGCGACCGTACGACGATAGCGAAGGCGTGCGACGCTGTTACACAACGCTTCGGCCTCGACGTCCTCCACCACCACCACAGTCACCGCCACTTCCACCGCCGAGTTCGACCATTGCATCGTACAGACATTGACTCTGCAGTCTTAGCCAGCGTACGGTGATCCAAAGAAGTTTTTTCAGTGCACATGACGACGGTAAATATTTGTTTTATTCAATAATATTCGCGCTTTCTCTATACGGTTTGTTTTATCAAACAATAATACTTACCTTTACGTTACCCGTTATATTTTCTGCGCATGATTCGAATGTAACCAGTGTGAATTTATGATTGTAATAATTAGTGCGTTGCTAGAGAAAAATTTCAAAAATACTTCACCGAGCGAGAAACAACCACTCCGCTGTACACCAAAAACATCTACCGTAAGAAAATATTTTAATAATAATCGAGACCTTGACTCTGTTTTCTCTTTATTAATACCAAAATCATTAAATTGACAGAAGTGTTAAAGAGCTTGTAGATTTCTTAAAAAAAAACATAAACGGTTTCTGTTTGTTTGTAAATTAACATTTGAATTAATCGTATTATCAGTATTATTGACATCACCCGTGGTCAAGAGTTCCAGAAGTCGATAAGGTCATTGTCGCTGACACATAAGCTTACAATGTTCGCCGGCAAGCGATCGCCACACAGAAATGCAGGTGGTGTCATCGCCACCACAAGTTTATGACGAAATAATCTGCACCATAAAATGTACTGGATTCATCATTGGAATCGAGGAAAACACCTGTGTACGATAATTGTTGCATGACGTAGTCCAAGTTTTGTTTAAAAGTATGAAACAAAACGCAATTTGTCCAGAACACAGTTTAACAATGTCGGTATTGGTCATCATCTTCTCTGCTACTTTACTGGCTTTTGCGGGGACAACAGTGGCGCAAGGTACGTTGTACTTCTTTTTACCACTTGAATATTTTTAAAACAACTATAACATAATTCTAGTCTCTAGATAAATAATTGAATAATATATTATAATATTGTGATTACAGTGGTCATTGGTCAGTTATTATAACTACTTAGGTATATGAAAGTTTGAATGTTATTCAACTGGTTTTGTATTTATATTCTGGTGTATTTGGTTTACTGTAGTAAATAATGATACAATATTAGAAAGTATTATTAAAATAATTTAAATAATATCAATGAACTACCCTTATTGAATTTAAATTATTGTAAAATATCGTTTATGGATCCTATGTAGGTACTTAAATTCTCATACTACATAATTGGTTATAACTTATAACCTATTAATTTCTTAAATTAAATACATAAAAACAATTGCCCTAATAATACTTAGATTATAGCTAATAGCTTAAGGCTAATAAGAAGATACTATAATTATTGCTCGGACCCAGTTGTGGGGGGGGGGGGCAAGGTGGACAAATGTCCAGGGCCTCAAGCTTATCGAAGTTAGAAGAACATCAAAGTCAATTTTTCAATATGACAGCAAATAAATGAAAAAGTAATATTTATAAATATGTACTAGGTAGTCATATTTTCGTGTAGATAATAATCGTATGTACCTGCAGCGTCATTTATCATTTAAAATTTTATCAAATGGTTTTAACGGTCAAAGCTTCCGACTCTTTTCGACACTTTCCAACTTTTTTTGGTTTTTTTGTGGAACTTAAGTGAACTACGGCCAGTGTTGGGTAGTAAAATAACGCAAATTACAAATTACTTTTTCAGTAACCTCAGCAGTAATGTAATTACATTTTACTTAAAGTAACGCAATTGTAACAACATTTCTTTTGAAAAGTAATTTCTATGAAGTAACGCACTAACGCGTTATTTTCCACATTATTAAAATAATAGTTTTCAATGTATTATAAAAACAAGCCGATAGGATATCCCAAAAAAATTAAAAATCAATTATATTTATTTTTGATTCCGATAATAGTGAATAATATTACTAAACATTCCAGGAGTAATATGTTATCACTTTATTAGCAGAAAGAAAAAAGTTCGGCTTAAAAATAAAATGTAAAAAAATTAATTATAATAAATGACTTATGACTAGATAGGTGAGATAATTGTACATTTGTACATAATACTATAATAGGCCTATGATTGTAAAATATATACATAATAATTGAATTAAATATGGTTAAAAAAAATGATAAAAAAAGTAACGTTATTTGTAACGAACTACTTTATTAATGAAAAAGTAATGTAACGTGATAAAAATTATTTTAGATAACGTATTTAAATAAAAATATTTGAAGTAACGAGTAACGTAATTTCATTACTTTTTAAAAGTAATTTACCCAACACTGATTACGAGCATTAACTAACGAAGGCCTGAGGAAAAGCTGCTTAGATTTTCAGAACTATTTATGTGTTGGCGATTCTTGTGATATAGATGCTTCTGAATTATACAAAGAGTTAGATTTTGAAATGCAATTGAAAAAAATACTAATATAGTAGAGCACTAACTTTCTTAAAGACGATGCCTGGTGCATCTCCTAACACTGTGAAGTTTCTCTTAAATTCCAGTAACCTCAGCGTCTACCGAAAGTAACTTTTCTAAACTCAAAATAATTTAAAACTAAAGACTAAACTATCTAAAAAGACTGACTAACCTGGCTAAAATTTACATACACAAAGAAAAAAAAACAATTTGAATTTTAAAAACATAAAATTAAAACAACATACCATTACATTTTTTGGCGTCCAATAAGTGATAGATAATAGAAAATTAACTCATTTGTAAATTTGTACTCAATCAGTAAATATACCTAAATTATTGTTCTGACTGTTTATAATAATATAGCTTGTTTATAAATACTTAAAGATAATAATTTTTGTACAACATTAAACAAAATAAAGTATGTAGAGTTAGTTTTAAGACAGAATAAATCAAGATGAGACTGGACAAGAATTTAAAGAGATGAGTAAAAAAAACGGGACACAACCAACAACTAATTATACTGAAAAAAACCCTCACATTTTAAATTTGCCTAAGAACATTTCGTATTTTAAGATTTCCAAACATGCTATATATTTTCAGATTTTCCTAATCGTTAATCCATAAAAGAGCGATTTTCTGTGTATATTTTTTTTTTATAAATTTATAAATTCATATTTCACTATTGTATATGGAAAATCGTAAAGACAAAAAAAAAAACTGGTGTACTGTGCTCGAGAGCATGTTTGCCCAGGTATACCACTTAACTATTCATCAGGTAATAATTGTTTGGTATACACCACTACACCACATAATGCGGTATCTACACTTAATAATATTCATGTATAATATACCTATAGTGCAATTTCGTACATAATAACCATAAATGTAACACAATAATTATGGCGAATTTTACGTAGGTATGTAATGGATTATAATTTATAATGCGATATACATATTTTATTGTATCAAATTGTACAGTACATAAAAATATAATCTCTTATAAAAAAATAATAATAATAATAATAAATAAAATATAACGATTTTCGACTAATTATGAAATGGGCATCGCCCCACAGCTATAATATGTATCATGTATGCGACGGGTGTCCTTGGTTCGTGACGGCAACGACTTTAAGAATATTATAGTGTATATTATACCTATATACTATACACCACCAGGTTGCCAAGCCGTCTTAAGCATGTATAGTACCTATATATACATTCCTCTATAGTGCACTGCAGGTGTATGATATTATAGCCGAGGAGTATGTGTGTTACGACGTTGCCACGATTTTATATCGAATGCGATTTACAATATACTTTTACTTTCACTTTGTTACGACGGCCGCCCTCGCACAGAATACCGACGGCATTGCGCGATAGTAACGGTGGAGGTGCCTGGCGAGGCCGTGGACCGTAGTCCGTGGTAATGGAATTTCAGAATTCAGGAAACAACCAGTCCTAGACACATTACAATACGAACCAACACCACATGAATAATATTATTATGTTTCGATGATAATATTATTGCGCGACACTGAGACGTGTGGCGCCGAGTGGCTGAGCGAACAAACAGTTATTATTACCATTTAGATTCGATGAGTTTGAAAATATTTAAAAACTTAAGCTAACGTGTTCTCCGGGTATACCTACCATTTGCATTAGTCATCGTGAACCATCTCCTTAATCGTTTCAGTATTATTCAACTATATAGATGCATTATAAATTATAATTCACTCAGTCCGTATAAATGCTTATATAATTAGGGCTCGGATTTTGTAACAAAATAAATCGTTAAAAAAACATTTATTATAAGTTATAATTGCCAAAAAAATAAAAAAACATTAGTTTAATTTAAACTCGAAAAATACTAAAAAAAATTTAAATTATTTTTCCCCTTTCTGAAAGTTAAAACGATTACTTTGAATTACAACTAAAATTATCTGTGTTCCAATAATTATTCTATCAGACATATATTAATTGTTATTTTACCACGATAACAAACAAAAAAACGTCGACAACTTAACGCGAACATTTCACATATTTTTATTCTTAAGTCATAATATAGAAGGAAAAATTATAGGCTAATATAATATAATTGAAGATATGTATGACATTTTTCGTGAAGATTGATGCAATATGCAATATTTAGCAAACAAGTAAATCTAAGGGGAAAAGCATGAAATCAAAATAAAGTTTGCCTCATTACAACCATAATCATAAGAAATTAATTTAAATATAACAATTACCTTTTTTTCACACTCTCAACAAAGCATTTATCTACTACAAAATCCAAGCCTTACTTATTATCATTGTTCCAGTACCTAGGTGTGTGTTGTAATAGTGTAATACCAAACCAACAACTATGTAATTGCACATGATGTGAACAATTATTATTATTTCTTTGCATTTTTTGTACACATTATAGATAAGGTTTTCGCATATTTTATAAATTAGTAAACATTGTAATGATAAAATCAATGTTAATTGAAGACATAGTTTTTTTGTAAATAGGTACCTACTCATGTTATATTCAATTGAGTTTTAATAATTAAAAGAAAAAGTAACCGTGGGATTTTGTTGTACCTACTTTATTTTAATATTATTCGTGTTGTTTTCATAATACGAAGGAAAACACACTTTTTATGTACATACATCAATAAATTAAAATGTAGGTAATATCATTTTTTTAATATTATTTCATTCTTGTACCCATTACAACACTGGTCGAGGGTAATGTTCTATTGGGAACGTTTGAGACATTAATAATACAATATGTCATAGATTATCTCATAAAAGTTCGTTGTATTTAACCGTATCTGTTACTTTTTTAGCCCCGTAATCCCACTATAATGGATCCATTGCGCAATTTCGAACAGATTATTGTGTAATAATAAATACATGGCATGTTTATAGATACCATTCACACCCCCGCCACACAATACAATATTATTTGCACAAAAATAATATGTATTTGACACAAAAAGCAGGAACACCGCGCGTACAAACGGTAGATAAGTTGCGCAATATACATTGATGGACATATTTTGTCGTGACATATTTCAACAAACTATACCTAATACCTATATGTAGTGTTACGCCGACAATGGCGATGTTATACGTACATAGGAAACAACGTCGATGGCGGAAAACTCTAAATAAAATCTGAAAAAAATACAACACGTTTCGTCATGCTGCGACTTACCTAACAAGGACCAGCCGAGGGTATTCTGTTTCTACCTATAGGTATATCGGCCATTGGTAACGTGTTTTGGCGTATTGTGTATAGATAAAGTTGGAAAAAAATATAATTTAAAAGTAAACGTCATTACTTAATCGCGTCTGGAGTCGCCACCATTATTCATCCGGCTAATGGCATCGCGTATAGTAAAACATTAAAAATTAATGAAGGAAACGCTATAATGTGTTCTTCGAATACCTCCAGGCCTAAAATGACTGTGTATCGATTTAA